TTTCAATTTTTGAAAATTTTGATCACGTGACCTTTTCTCCTGTTTTTCGAAGAGTGACCTTGATATTTTCCCCACTGAAAGTTGCAATTTTGTCTGATGACGAAGACGTAAGAAAAAACTAATAGTTTCTGAGTTATAGGCCGCCAAACATAGGGCTGCAGCGCGAACTCCAAGAATTGCCCGAGGCTATATCTCGGAAACCGTTGTTCGAAGAAAAAAATCCTTGCCACAGCTGGCTTCCCCGCCCATCACAACCCATTAGACCAATTTTAAGCAAAAAATGAAATATGAGGGTGCAGGGCACTTGTCGATTTGTCGTGGAACGACCCAGGAGTCATATCATATGGACACGGTCTAAAATCAGCATCATATGGACGAGAGTGGCGCCGCACGACTGTCTCAAAGCGCCGGCGAACCAGGAGACTGGCACAGACGCTGACTCGTCTCTAAAGTTTGGCGCTGATGTTAACCGCTGGGCTTCAGTTTTCACATGTATGGCATCAGACAAGGCACAAAGTACCAGTTGACGTTGTGTGCTTCAAAGGCTACACGGAGTGGTTCAGAATGATATTTTGCTAGGCGCGCAACGGAAAATATTGCAGTAAATGGCTACTTGGGCGGTTATCTTTACCTGCTTTTACACCAAGACGAGAACATCGGCGATTCAGTCTAAAAGAGATAGGTACATATAAATTAAAAATGTCAGAACACTCTGGCAGAATACTATCTCTTGGCACGGTATAAAGTGACAAAAGGAGTTCATTGAAGCAGCTTATAACAAATCTGAGCCACTTATTTCATTAGTGCATCACTTACCGCTGAAAGAAAATTCCATATATTTTCCTTGATAGCATGATCTTACAGATGTTAGGATATATTTGAGGTATGGAAAGAGGAACCGGTCCCGTAGCTCATTCGGTAGAGCATTGGAATCCGCGTGGTGAGAGCACGCGTCCCGGTTACAACAGTCCGAGCTCGAAGCGCGGCGGGCGCTTGACGTTTATGGGCCTCCTGACAGGTAGGGTTGCGGTTGGTGGCAGGCCGTAGCCAGGCGAAGTCAGTGAGGAGACCGGCCGTGTGCGGCTATGTGTGCACGTTAAACTTTGGACTCTAAATTCTGCCATAGAACCGGAATTGCATGATCGGAGGGTAGAGGGCAGGGTCAGCGCAACAAGCTTCGCTTAGCGCGGGCTCTATTCTTGTGAATCCTTCCAATCAAAAGGTTTGTACTAAATTTATGAAAAAGGAATAATGATTGCGTGCTGAGCCCAGCCGACCCGTGGACCTGGCCCGTCCCTGACCGGTGGACAGAGCCCGTCTCTGACCGGTGGACAGAGCCCGTCTCTGGCCGGTGGACAGAGCCCAGCCCGGCCCTGACAGTGCCTGACCGGCAGTCAGTGGCGGTAGTGGCGTCACAGGTCAGAAAGGCGCCGAGCGGTGACGACATCCCAACACCGTTTGGTTATGGTAGCTGCTCAATGACTGACGCTTATGTGGTTTATCCGGAATTTTCTGACACAATATTTATGAAAGAAACACAATGTTTAAAGAAGTGACAAATAAAGAAGAAACACATCTGTGTTATTTCATTGACGCAAGGTCACAAGGGTTTGTCGCCAACGACTCCAGTCTCCATCTCAGATATAGGTTACATAGTCGACAGATTCGACGGCAGGTCGAAGGCGACTATAAATGAGAAAATCATCTTTGCTAAAGAAATAACAAAACATGAGGGTATAAAAACAAGCGTATGTAATAAAAACCTGTACAGCACAACAGCATAGCACACAGTTCCGTAAACTGAAGAACTTAAGCAATATGAGAAGTCTTCAGTAACATTTGTTTATATCAAGAGCCTTCCTGGATTCTCAGTAGGTGGCACACGAACCAATAAGCGAACTATCGAAACTGCCTCGCCTCCGCAGATGAGATCAGAAGACATCGCAGTGTGATCGCACCGCAAACGGACGGCCGGCTTCTGTAACAGGTCCTCGGTATTAATGGTCTTCTGGAATGGAAATGATGGCGCAGAGCCCCGGCAAAGTGTCACTCTCTGAAAACGAAACACGCAATTGCTATCGAATAGATCAATTTGAAAACGAAAAGCGGAAGTCTTGGAATATCGATGGTCCGCGAAACGGACGTCTCTCTTCAAACCATGCGCGTATGTTAACCTCTGGGCCTGGCTCCACTGCAGGTAGCCCGTCCACTCAGCGCACCTTCAGACTGGCCGCCTGTCGTTCTCCCAGAGCCCCACTGGGAGAACGACGGACTGCGGCAACGGAATCGGCAATCAGAGACGGCCCGATCCGCTCCTGACCGGATAACATCGGGTGAGATCGGCACAGGTCGGTAAAGGTCGAGTGAGGTCGGCACAGGTCGGGGCAGGTCGGGTGAGGTCGGCACAGGTCGGGTCAGGTTGGGTAAGGTCGGGGCAGGTCGGGTCAGGTTGGGTGAGGTCGGCACAGGTCGGGTCAGGTTGGGTAAGGTCGGGGCAGGTCGGGTCAGGTTGGGTGAGGTCGGCACAGGTCGGGTCAGGTTGGGTGAGGTCGGCAAGGTCGGGTCAGGTCAGTACAGGTCCGGTGAGGTCGGGTCAGGTCGGGTCAGGCCGGGTGAGGTCGGCACAGACCGGGTCAGGTCAGTACAGGTCCGGTGAGGTCGGGTCAGGTCTGGTGAGGTCGGCACAGGTCGGGTCAGGTTGGGTGAGGCCGGTACGGTACAGGTCTGGTGAGGCCTACCGGTACAGGTCAGTACAGGTCCGGTGAGGTCGCTGGGTACAGGTCAGTACAGGTCGGGTGAGGTCGCTGGGTACAGGTCAGTACAGGTCGGGTGAGGTCGCTGGGTACAGGTCAGTACAGGTCCGGTGAGGTCGCTGGGTACAGGTCAGTACAGGTCGGGTGAGGTCGCTGGGTACAGGTCAGTACAGGTCCGGTGAGGTCGCTGGGTACAGGTCAGTACAGGTCGGGTGAGGTCGCTGGGTACAGGTCAGTACAGGTCGGGTGAGGTCGCTGGGTACAGGTCAGTACAGGTCGGGTGAGGTCGCTGGGTACAGGTCAGTACAGGTCGGGTGAGGTCGCTGGGCGAGGCGGCCTGTGTCCGAGGGAAGGGTGATGTTTTAAATACTCACTAAAGGCTGTTACTATACCAAACTGGTGACCTCCGACTAAGCGGTGGCTGTATGGGAGTTGCAAACATGCATCCTTTAGTGTGGGCTTTGAACTTTGAACTTTGGGTATAAAATAAATAAAGTAAAATAAATTAAACAACGCTTAAAGGTAGTGTGCCAGCTTTCTTGGACCGTATGGAGTTAATGGCCCAGATAAGGAGAACCGGATTTTTAGAACTTATCCATACCTTCAAAACTCATGGAAACGTCTTAAATTCTTCAAATTTTGAGTACCCCAGTGCGAAATTCGCCCCGACGGGTTGTCGGTCGTACCCCAACCACATTTCACACCACTATGAACAATAAATGCACACACTGAAATCGCTACTACCGATATGCTCATCCAATCAAGTTTCGATAAACCCGTTCATCATCATCTCCTGCGGTTTCGAACACGCCTGTTATGTGGCTTCTGATGCTCGTCGAGGTCGGAATTTCCAAATACGCGTGGTGCGTCGGGCCGCGCGCTCTGACTTCGGCCAAGAAAAATGCGTCAGCTGATCATTGTCATTTCTGCCACTTGCGTGTGGTGAAATGGGGTCATAACTTATAAGACGGCTTTTTCATATCAATTATTTTACATAAAATCATATTTCAAACCATAAATAATGTTCGACAGCCAAATAAAAGAAACAATACCAATACGGGCTTACAGTTTAAGGCTCGACATTGTGTTGTCTACGATTAGACAGCTGATAACTCATTCCCGTACGTCGTATGGTCGTAACACTATAATGACCTTTGCTTATTGTCACAAGTGCGCCGCATTCGGGATTGTTGCCCGACGCCTGTTTGCAGGTGAGCCCACTACAGTTGTTATACATATCTAAAAACCGATAAACTTTTAGGCGAAAAAGGCACTATTCCAGGCCCATTTTTGATTTTTTTTGCGATATTTGGTAAAAACAGAAGCTTCTTATCCTAGGAAAAATAAAATGGGAAATCTTTCAAAGGTGGCACACTACCTTTAACTTTGGTCAGGGCGAGCTGTTCAATAGAGAACTTCGTGCCTTTCCTAGCGGTCGAGTATGTACCTGCATAACACCTACATAAAGAGCACATTGGAGCGTGGCCTTACATCTAACTTCACTACCAGCGAAACATAAAAGGCGCCTGTTCAACTTTCGGCGTGAACAAATGAGACGAATTTACCCCACCGTCTTGAGCTGCTTTCAGTAAAAAAAAAAAAAAAACTACGAGTAGCTTTTAGTACTATTTGCAGCTAATGATAACAATTAAATTCAAAGCTTTGAAGTGAAGTTCGCACATCCAAAACAAGAAAAATCTCGCTGTATGAATAACAGCTATTCACTCTTCAGTGTACGTACACGGACCATATGTAAACAATAGAACACAACGCACACTGGAATATGCTATACATACATGTCTAGCTGATGTAAGTGCGCACTGCACATTCCAAAAACGATGAGAGCAATGACTGTTAACGCCTCACCTTTGTTCACAAAATGTGCGTCGATTCGATCTGGTACTTCAACACAATTCTATTTATGGCTTTGTGGATGGATGGATATACGTTGGGAGCAAACAAGAACAGATAACTCGGAAACAGCACACTAGCGATGTGTCCGAAAAAAAAATCAGATTGCCAGAATCCTCCCCCCCCCCCCCCCCCACCAGCACACACACAGAGTCGCGCCCGAACCCACCACGGAGAGGTCTGTTCCCTCTCACCAGACCACCGCAGGGGGAGCCCGCTACTCCCACCAGACTACAGTGAGGCCCACTACACTCCTCACCTCACAGTAAGGCCCGCTACACTCACAGCGAGGTCCATGACTGCTCGCAATCGCTCACAGCGGCCCGCTCCTCTCACCTGGAGGCTGAAGTGGTCAGTGTAGTCGGAGAGCCACGGGTGTTCGTCCGACTTGTAGAGGTCAGCCCACTCCCTCTCGAGGCGCGCCCAGAACTCCTCTCTGGCGCGCGGCGTCATACCGGCAGAGTCCACCTCCGGCTCGGCCTCGGCCGCCGCCGCCGCCGCCGCCTCGGCTGGGGAACACAGCGCACGGAACGAGTGACAGGGAGGCAGAGCCGCGGGACATGGCGAGCGAGAAACCACCGCCTACGGCTCAGCCGCCGCCGCCGCCGCCGCCTCGGCTGTAAAGGCAACCGGGAGGCAGAGCGTCATATGAGAGAAATGGCCGCCGCCGCCGCCTCGGCTGGGGAGTACAGCGCAGGGTAAGGGTAACCGGGAGGCAGCGCACGACATGAGCGAGAGAAACCACCGTCTCCGCCTCGGCTGAGGAACGGGTAGCTCGGAACCGTTGGGTTCTGCTACCCGTTCGGCTGGGAATGGGTAGCAGGGAGACAGGTGACGAAATGAGAGAGACATTGTGTCAAGGATAAGCACAACCACAGAGAAGACACGTATCGAATCCAAAGAGCACGAGAATAATCGCACATATCTGACCAAACAAATACGCATGGCCACCGTGATTTCCAACTTTTGTTCAGTTCTCCCAACCAAGCCTCGTCCTACCCAAGATATGCTACGTTCCAGCTGGTCTCGTCTCTTTCCGTCCCGGCCCGTCTTGTGCCGTCAGGTTCAGTTGCGTCCCATCCGTCCCATCCCATCCCATCCCATCCCATCCCGTCCCGCCCCGCCCCGTCCCGTCCCGTCCCGTCCCGTCCCGTCCCGTCCCGTCCCGTCCCGTCCCACCCCGTCCCGTCCCGTCCCATCCTGTCCTACCGACGGCCGCGGCCGGGTCGCCGCCAGCCTCTGCCGTCGCTGCCGCCGCTGTGGCCGGCTCCGGCACCTCCACCTCTCCGTCCCGGATCTTGGCCAAAAAGTTCATAAACTGAAACGTCAAAATAAAATAAACAGTGAGAGATACAAAGGCACCTGAAGAATGAGCTGACCAAATTACGCGCTATCGTCAAACGAGACATACAGGGGTAAGGGGTGGGGAGTGGAAAACGTTCTACTGGCCGACAACGGACGAGGGCCATATCAGGTGACACTTGACAGCTATCCCTGGTTGGATATCCACGATTACATCCCCACACCAGACAATGGGACGTTTCGCGCGCTGGTACGTCCTGTGATGCTGAAGCACAATGGAAGCCGGCAGCTGACGGCGCTGCCGACAGCGGCAGTCTGTGACACCTAATTGGTGCCTAACCGGGGTTGGGCTCGAAAACTCAACGGTGAGGCTATTTTCAGACACGTTTACGAGATGTTTCCCCACAGACGATTCAGCTACTTTATACATATAATGATGGATGTGTGCTCCCTGTGAGCGGTGGCTACCTCGGATCCGGAGAAGGTGGGGTCCCTGCGACCAATGTGAGGTCCCTGTGACCGGTGGCGGTGGCGTACCTCGGATCCGGAGAAGGTGGGGTCGTCCACGGAGCCCAGGATCTGGTCGGCGGTGCGCTGCAGCTCGGCGTCCTCCGAGGGCCGGTACTGGTCGACCCACTGCACCTCGTCCAGAGGGTTCTCCGGCGGCCTGCAGGTCAGGTCAGGTCAGGTCAGGTCAGGTCAGGTCAGGCCGGTACTGATCGACCCGACCCACCGTACCTCGTCCAGCGGGTTCTCCGGCGGCCTGCAGGTCAGGTCAGGTCAGGTCAGGTCAGGTCAGGTCAGATATGCGTCAAGTTTGGATGAACATAGTGCCTTTGATGCCCGTCGAATGATGAAATCGAGTAGAAGCCACAGTGTTTGCAGTGCACTATGACACATTACAAAGGAAAAGTCTGACATGTCTTCTTCCCTGGATATACAAAGGTTCTTTTGGCATTCTGAGAAAAGAACCGACTTCCTCTCCTGTCTCAAAAGTTTCAAAGGACTTTGAAAAACCCAGCTCGACATACGAACACACTAAATATTCCAAACGGTTAAAACTGCCGGCAATAATCGCCAAAACGCGTACAGTGTGCGCTGCTGCGTAAATCGGACACGACAGCATGTAAAGAGATCCTGAAGCCCACCCACCGACGCCACAGGCCGCTCGTCCGACTGAGGCGGTTGGGCAGTCCGTTTCACGGCAGAGCTCTGTAAGCGGCGCCTGCGACACCGACATAGGCAGGCGATCAGGGTCGGCCACACTGGGCTCATCAGTGCTGTAGGATTAGGACTGGCAGGGAAACGTACCGCGGTGGGGGTAAGTGATAGTCATGATCCCAATGGGGCGAATGAGTCCGTCCGATGAGGTGAATGAGTCCTCCCGATCGCGATGATGTGGATGACAATATGGTCCCTCCGATTGGACAACTGATCAGTACAGCCTTGTCCTCCTGGTGGAGCGACTGGCAGCGCGACCCTCTCGCGATACGTGTGTGACAGCGCTGCTAACCCGGTGAGCGCGAGTGACACTGCACCCGTCACAACACTATCACTCTACCAGCTACCGCGGCGCATCGGAGCGCACCAGTGAGTATTGCCCCAGCGTTCAGTTGACTGGTGTTAATTGGAGGCCGTCTGCCGTATCCTCAGCACGGCATCCCGCATTACCAGACTGTTTCAATGACGAATTATATACAGATGTGTTTACAGCAAATAACTCACTTTCCAGCAGCTGGCTGGTTTTGCCCACTTCTGCGCACCAGATGTGGAGTGTTTACCGGATAATGTGTGGCAAACCACACTCAATTCAATTATAGAGCGAACAATTTCGCTTGCACGGCGGAGTTCTAAAAAGTCGGCGCACCCTGAGGAATTTAGTGAAAGTGCGTCTATTTCGGATGGCGCGTGCTCCGCCTACCTATTATAAGAGGACACTGGTGTGTATCTAAGCCAGCGGATTAAACTCTGGTGTAGGTACTTTGACTGTTGGCTGAGTGAAGTGCTGTTTGGCGTGTCAAAAGTACGATTAGACCGTGTTCGATCATATCCGGATCCCTTGGAAAACCTCAGACTCCAGTGGGAATTACGCTGCAGCTCTCGAAGTCCAATGATTAACAGACTACGCTGAATTCAGCAGCCGTGGAAATAATGTCAATGCTCGATGGTAAGTAAGGCGGAGTGGATTTCGAGTTAGGTAGAGTGCGCGCTGTGCAATGAGAGGAGCAGTACCCAACTTAAACCAGTACCCACACTGTATCCGGAAAAAACAACAGTCCGTATCAGGGTTGTATACGACTCAATCAATAGCAATCAATTCAATCACGAGAAATTTGGGAAACCAATCAAATCAATCAAGTCACAGCAGTTTTCGGGAATTGATTCAATCGACTCAAACGCGACAATGAAAGGAATCAATCAACTCAATCAAACGACTCAAACCAAGACATACATTAGTTTTTTTGCCCCACCAACTTGGAAAAGTGTCCATAGCAGTCTGGTGTACCTACCTACCTACCTACCTACAGAAGAAACATAAAAAATATTGTAATTTGAAATTATAAATTGCCATGCCATTCAAAGTTTCTATGTAATAAGGAAGGATACCTAGTGATGGACAGGTGGATCATGATATTGAGGTTCAATGGGTAGAATTGGAGCAGAAGTTTCATTTAATGGGTGCAAAATAACCCAGTAGTTGAGTCGCCCCTTAACCCAAATCACCACCTTTCACCTAAAAGTTGTCAATTTAATTTTGGCCATATTCCAACTCAATTTACACTAAATATCAGATATTGCAGTTGAAAGATGACTGCTCGGATTTTGGCAGTGTTCGTGATTTGGTCATTTACCCTACACCATGTCTATTTTAATGGATAATATGCATCAATAACATATTAACCATAGAGAAATAGAAATAACTATCTTACCTGCATGTGACGGTTTCGGTTAGACAGAGACTGACGGGCAGCCTTAAAAATCTTTCCACACAATGTGCATTTGAGACGTGGGATGTTGTCAGATTGGGAAGGAAGAGATTTGAGGTATTTAGCGGTCCACGACTCTGGACGTGGCATGTAATGAGAATTCAAAACATTTTATTGCAATACAATTTGAAACTGTTAGGACTAGGGGATAGAGGTGAGAATTAAAAATATATTTAAAAGGAAATGGAGAGGACAGGGACTCTGGAACCACAGGATAAGTTAAGGACAAAGGAAGTAGGAACAAGGAAAATTAGGCACGGTGCGACTGCGAAGCAAAGAAAACGTTTTGCCAATACCTAAGTATGCTAAGCTTTTATAAATCCTTATTCTTCGTCTTTTGATTTTTTGGTAAGATGACGTCATTGATTATCATGTAGTATGGTAGATCATCATATAATAAATCGGTTGGAAAACACCAATTTCGTTTTAATTATTATTTCATTTGAAATAAAACCACTCAATAATATTCGGTAAAATATTTTAAGGAAAATGAAATATATTAAATATGTTATGCTTAGGCTCTAAGGAGAAAAGGATCAACAAACGTTCTGCTGCAAATTAAACAATGCAGCAAATTAGCTATTAGTTAGGTAAGGAAACGTAATTAGCGAGACGAAAACGGCGCTTTTGTTTCAGTTATTTTTGTAGGGGTTTCAGATATTTATAGAGTTCAGTCACAGTGGGTTGTTTCTGAGGAGATGTGAAGATGTGAATTATTAATTAATCACACTTTATTAGTATATAGGGCCTTGCACTTTATCATCTGGATTAAATAAAATCGTTTCCTGCTGAGTGCAGAAAGGTAGGTAGGTGCATCGCCAGGTTCTATCACCAGGATTGGAGCAGTTATTGCAGTTGAAAGTCAAAGTTGGCTGTTCATGTTTAGGCCCTGTTCTTTATTTGGCCATCTACCCCATATTGCAGTTGTGATGACAAACAGTTTTTAGTGTAGTTTTGTGATCTTTGATGTCATCAATTGGTGTCATTATTTTTCGTCAACTAAAACTTATTTGAACTTTCCATTCAATCGACTCAATCATACGAGTCACTCTAATTTTCGGGAATCAAATCAGTCAATTAGTCGCTAAAGTCAAACGAGTCAGTCAACCAGTCATCTCGAAAGTCAATCGACTCAATCCAATCAACTCAAAATACGCGTTGAAACAAATCAATCAATTCAATCGACTTGATTGGTATACAACCCTGGTCCGTATGATCTTTTGAGGCTCGAAGTTACTTCGGACGCACGCACAGATTAAAAAACACATACACACATACGAATTAGGGAGCTTCGTGGCCAATGGCCCACTCGATTCGCGCAATCTTACTCTTCACAAGCATTTGCAGTGATGAACAAATGCCATTCACCAGTGTCATTTTATGACGCGCGTCGGCATCGGACAGCTTGTGAGAATGAGCTATAATAACCAGGGTTGCGGACTGCGGAGTTGATGGGTTATCGGTGACTTCGACTCCGACCCATACTCCGGCTTCCAAAAATCAGCTCCGACTCCGACTCCGGTCAGAACTGTTGACTCCGAGTGACAGTGGCGCGGGAACCGGGGGGGCTAGCGGGGGCTGAGCCCCTCCAACTTTTCGGCTGGGGGGCTCGTAATGTATTTGAGCCCCCCCAGCTGGAGGAATCGAAATAGGAAATCTACCAAAATAATTTCATAGATTCATACATAGGCGCGGAAACCGGGGGAGGGGGCAGTGGGGGAAGCTTGCCCCCACAGCTCTGGGGCCGTGGGGCGGTGCCCCACAACTTTTCATGAGGTCAGGAGACAGAAACCGTTGAGGCAGCTTGTCCTCCCCAAATTAGGGGTTGTAGGTCACAAAGGAAGAAAGCATGTAAGTGAAAAATCCACCTCTTGGCTCTTTCACTGGCTCGGCAACTCATTTGGCAGATTAAAACCTTTATTCCAGGTTGCCAAAACGGTAGTTTCTTCACTCAGCTGAGACGGAATGCCTGACTTTTTTGCAAATATTTTCGTTTTTTTTTGTTGAAAAGGCCAAGGTCTAAAAAATAAGTGGCCTAAAACCGGTGAGAAAACTAGATTTGGGGGTACCCTAGGTTGATCTCTATTATGGTTCAGCCCCCCCAGTCTGGAAGAAGTTCCCGCGCCACTGCCGAGTGACTTCCGGCTGTTCATCCAACTCTGCAGTTCTGGTTGTAACAGTAAAGTTCGTGAATTGGTGATTCAGACCTCTATACACGGGGTGTTCAGAGGTTTATGGTTGATTACTAAATTATTGGTTTGTGAACACCTCGTATCAAGTGTTGGTTCAATGTACATAACATAACGGGACAACTGACGGAATGCTTGAAGAATGTCCAACCAGCGATAAATATGACGACAGCGACAATAAAAACACACCCGAGCCTAACTCTGCACTACTGAGTAACGCGACGATACCGTGGGTCCATGAACTATGCAATAGAGTAGCAATGTCCGGTAAAACAGGGGACGCTGCACAGCGGCTCACATACCTCACTAAGTAGGTGATATAACCTCGCCGGCTGCGCACGGTGGCCGGAACGACTCTGACAGAGCGCATTTACCATGTGAGTGCCTTTAGTGCCTCCCAGTCTTTCACCGGACGCACGAGCAGCGCCAGTGACGCCATGGAATCTGACACCGGCGCCGAGTGAACTGGTGCTGACGGTTCATTACCGGGTGATATCCTCGTACTGATTGCTGATGCCAGCGGTGTATGCCCGCTTCACGTCCCAATGGTGCAGTTTCCCTACGCTCGGCCTTTGAAACTCATCATGTGGATAGTAAAATCATATTCGGCGTAACTGCGGTAACGCAAAGAAATCAGATAAATACGATCGCATATTAACCCGCGACCGCCTGGGGGGGGGGGGTCGGATCCGACCCCCCCCCCCTCCGTTTTTGTTGAATAACTCATGAACCGCTTGCGCTATCAACTTGAAACTTCGCATACCTTCTCCCCCATCAATTTGACGTCTCCTGTGCAATTTTGAAGAAAAAAATTTCAAAAATTTCTGAGATATATCGATTTTAGTGATGTAACTACATGGCGTTTTCAGTCAAAAAATGGTAAATGTTTAAAAAATCGCAAAAAATCGAGGTTTTAAGCAAATTGCAAATTAAGGACATGAAAAGACGCAGCTCAACGAGTTCTTTAAAATGGCTATCTCAGATTTTCCATAAAATGCGTTTTTTACCCCTAAAAATCCAAAAAACTATATTTTTTGGAAAACAGCTAATAAAATCCAAAATTTTGAGAATTTCCAAAAAACCGGAATATATGTTATAGAGCTCTATTAGAACATTAGATGTCCCAAATTACAACTTTCTATCTTGATTTTTGACCCCCAAATTGTAAAAAATAGCTCCAACATGCATAGGGCATGGTGACGTCATAAGCATTTTCGCGAATTAGAGGCACTTCTGAACATCGCATGTGAAAACAAATGGCACCAATAGATTCCTGGGACAAAGTTCGTCTAAAACAGTGCATTTTTATGTCAAAAATATTAAGTTGAAAAATTGACTTTTTTTCTCAGCCCTCGTTTAGTTATGTATGGTATAAACGATTTTTTATGCTTTCAATGCACACTTGTCACCAGCACAGTGACTTGGGGTCACATATAACCATTACCATCGGATTTGGCGTGAAAAATAAGCCATAAAACATGTGTCGCACGCCCATGTAGCAGAAAGTGAAAACCGTGACCTTTCGTGACCTGACCTGACCTTGCCCCGTACTTAGTATGACCCCTATACGCACATGGTACCTTCACTAGGTCTTTGAGGTCATTTGTGGTGAGTTTCGAGCAGCAGCTATCGATTCCGCTGTCCGTAAGCCTAATCATGCAAAACCCCTGAATTTGACCTTTGACCTGACCTTGACCCGAAAGTTGACCTCAATCTTAAAATCTTAAGAGTGCTTTGGGAAGGTCTCGTAGAGACCTTTCGAACGCCGCCTCGCGGGGCTCGATACGACCATTGGTTCTCGAGATAACAGGGGGGGGGTCGGATCCGACCCCCCCCCCCCCCCAGGCTGATGTGGGTACGGAAATAGCCCAGGCGGTGCCGGGTTAACACGACCGAATAAATGCGCACCACCAGCCGTCTAGTGAGTAGACCGTGGGATCCGTTTTTGTATCCATTAAATATCCTTGTCATCGTCAGGTGATAGACCTATATGTATCACTGGCCCAACGATAGTGCCATGAGGGACTGTTATTAATTTTACTAGTATATTCTTACACCTTTATAACTATCAACAAATATGTTTCATGTGCCATGAAGGACTCTTACACTGTTATTCATTCAAGGTTCTTACACCTTAATATATATCAAACAATATGTTTCTACAGCGGTCATGAATGACGAATTCAATATGTCTGCAGAAATGTCCCTGGGGGGAGACCCACGGCTATACCGTCCACAAATAGTAAACTAGACCTGCCGGAGATCTGAATGGGTCCATATATAGCCTGCACCTGACATAAGCCGGGTGGTGGGCGATTCAAAGGGCATTAGGCAATAACACCACACGGCTACACCTGCTACCTGCCGCGCCCGACTCTGGCTTGGCCCCTCGATGGGGATCCATTATTGAGCCACCGTCTGTGCTTCTGTTGAGATGACTGCTTCGTTACCGGCGTTATGTAATGTGAGAGCGCACCTGTCCGGACGATTAGAAGTTGGTTGGCTGATAAATTTCGAAGGTTCCTTTCCTCTGGCTGCAAAGTTGAAGCCCATGAAGCCACATATAAGAAAATATATTTGATATGCGGGGAAAAACATTGGTACTGACGGCCCACAATATGCACAGCCATGGTTTTAGAATATGGAGCCATCTCTCGGTCAATCGGGGGCGAGACGAAAGTGAGCTTTCCTGTTGGTGCACCTGCAGTCCCTCTCTCCCAGAATCAAAGCCAACATTACAAACCTGACTCTACGACTACATACAAAAGAGGGGGGAGCGCATGAACCCAGCACCCCAATACGTAATAACGACAGAGAATGGAATACAATATTTTGGGAATGCAGACTGGTCGGTTTCCGCTGTTATTCTGGGGCGTCGAGAAACAAGATTGAGAAGGTAAAAACGGCGGTTCGAGTCCGGTCTGTCACATCAATTTTCGGCTATGTTATTGAATCACAGCTGAGTACTATGCCACACGCCAAAGTTCGTAGGGCGGATCACAAGGGGCAAGCATGTTGTTTGGCGTCCAACCAGTTCAACTTTGATGCCTGCCTCTTACCACTTTCAATTACATTGGCAGAATGCAGCATGCACTTCAACTTCTTAGAAAATGTCTCATCCTAAAGGGATGTCACAAACGCAAGAGCTTTGAGCTAAATAATACCAGAGACCAGCAAAAACTTCGAAGACTGAGTTAGCAAGTGCATGTGAAGTTAACTCGAGCATGCAAAATAGACTGATAAAATAACGGTGCATCCACAAACGCCAGACATTGGGAGCTGTAGCGCGCAGAGTGCGGCAGAGCGCCGGGTCGGCGGCCCAGGTGGCTGTCAGGTCTCCGAGCGGAACGATTAATCAGGGCGGGCCGCGTGCCGGACCGCACCGCCCGGGGAACGGGATGGGGGTCGGCGCGCCGCACCGGTGCTGCATTTCCGGCGGCCGGCGGCGGCGGTCAGCCCAGTCCGGCGGCGGTCGGCCCAGTTCAGCCCGCTCAACGGCCCTCCAGAGCCGGTGTCGGCCGGTCGCCAGGACACGTGGCTGCCCCCCCCCCCCCCCCCAACCCCCCGGCCTGCTGAACTCGGAAGCCACACGGCAACGAGCCGGCACACTGGCAGCAGTGTTACCAACTGGTTCAGAAGTCAGAACCGTGGCAGTGCTTTGAACACAACAAAAAGCAACAAATTGACTTTCCCTCGCTTGATCTCGGCTCCCGGACCACGTAGTAACAAACGGAAACGGCAATCCAGAGCTCGTTAAAATCATAATTAAAGCCATTCAGCCGTTTGTTGAGCTAGGTCAACAGAGAACATAAAAGCTCCAACATCCCCCACTCTGATATTTGACAAATTGGATTATTGCCCGTGCAATAAAAAGGACGCACTATGTCGAAAAAAAGAATTCGATAGTTCCTTTCCTGTACAGCCCCTTCTATAACGTGTCGTCAGGTTCTCGGCAGGTCAGCGGTCGGTGGCCCCGCCGGTGACTGCTCCAAAGTTGGGGCACTATGATCGGCGGCACGCGGAGCGCGGCGCACCCGTGTGATTCCCTGCCGCGCACCAGCAGCCGGCGGGACCGTCCCGGCCACATCCCGGCGCGCCGGCGCGCGTTAATTACATCGGCGGCAGTCAATAGCGCGCGCCGGCGACCGAACGCCTCCGCTGCCAGGAGACGGGCGAACTGTTCACTGCACTGGACGGATCTCCCGGCGGCCCACACCCGGTACCCGCCCAGAGAGGAACCCACCGGGACTGCCCGGCGGCCCACACCCGGTACCCACCCAGAGAGGTGCCCACCGGCAGGGCTGCGGAGTCGGAGTCGGAGTCGGAGTCGGAGTCGGTCGGAGTCGACAGTTGTGACCGGAGTCGGAGTCGGAGTCGGAGTCGATTTTAGAAACCCGAGCCGGAGTCGGAGTCGGAGTCACCGAAAATCTGTCGACTCCGCAGCCCTGCTAGGTCTGCGGAGTCGGAGTCGGGAGTTGGAGTCGGTCGGAGTCGACAATTCTGCCCGGAGTCGGAGTCGGAGTCGAAGCTGGTTTTTGAAAGCTGGAGTCGGAGTCGGAGTCGGAGTCGCCGAAAATCCATCGACTCCGCAGCCCTGCCCACCGGGACTGCCCGGCGGCCCACACCCGGTACCCGCCCAGAGAGGAACCCACCGGGACTGCCCGGCGGCCCACACCCGGTACCCACCCCGAGAGGAACCCACCGGGACTGCCCGGCGGCCCACACCCGGTACCCACCCAGAGAGGAACCCACCGGGACTGCCCGGCGGCCCACACCCAGTACCCATCCAGAGAGGAACCCACCGGGACTGCCCGGCGGCCCACACAGCGGCGTCTTATTGCCAGCGAGTTATGGAAGCCGCGCCACTGGCACCGGAATATGAGGCAGACGGAATGCGTGGGTGACAAGAGAGTTTGAGACAGAGTGTCCCCTCGCGAGTAACGGCTGGGGAAGGGGAGAGGGGTCAGGGGAGAGAGGGAGAGAGAGAGGGAGAGAGAGAGAGAGAGGGAGGAGGAGGAGAAGGGGAGAAAGGAATAGACCGAGAGCAGTATGGTTCGTGCGTTTCACTTCCTCCCAGCGCCCTGGTCAGTGTATGCTTATGTCACAGCCCGCAGTAATGGGTTCGTATCACTCACCGCGGCAGCGGCCGGACGGGCGCCAGGTCGGCCGTCCACGGCACGGGGGGCGCGATGCCGGGCCCGGCCAGCTGGTCGGGTGTGGGCAGCGGGCCGCCGACGGCTCCCACCTCGTCCGGCCAGGTCTGAGCGTCTCCCTCCTGAGGGCAGGGCAGGGGGTGGAGTCAGCGGGAGGGACACACCGGCGGACACGGCGGACACAGCGGACACCGGACACAGCGGACACAGCGGACACACCTGCGGACACGGCGGACACACCGGCGACCGGCGTCCACTGGACACTCTGCTAATGAAACAGACGTCCGGTGTCAGTCAGCCGGCGCCGACAGTGGAGTTAGAGTCAGACTGACCAGCATGGGCTAATCACGAAGCCAGGTCTGGACGGCTGACCGCCAAATGGTTTATCGATGTTGAAGCCATCAAAATGGGGAAAGTGTATACTGTAGTCAGCATCATATACATGTCAAAATATTAACAGTTAAAGTAAGGAAAAGAACATTGGACGACTGTGTTATGCAATGTGTTATGCAGGCAGTATAACTTCGGCGTAAGCGTTATCTAACATACGTGTTTTCGTTTTTACTATAATTTTTTTTTCAGTTATAGCATACGTGGGATTCAATTCATATTTGATATCAACAAATGGCAAATGAAAGTACCGCCTCAGAGGTATTCGAGGAAATAAACATCAAACTAAATATACCTATTCATAAAAGTGCAGCAGTTGGAATGTTGCTGGGTCGTCGTAGTGCAATGCGTACTTTTAGAGTTTTGGCAAAATGGCAAAACAAAAAAATTCGCGAGCATTGGAAAGCAATCTGGAGCATTGATGTTTCACTCACAGTGATAGCAGCCAACATTGTTGAACAGCAGTAGAGAGTAGGCACCTTATGATGATGGTGATTATTTGGGGGTTTAGGAGGCCCGGACTGCAGTGGTCAGCGGCGCAAGTTAGGACAAGCAGGCATTCAGGAACGCACATCGGCAGCGGAACCCTCAAATACAGAGCAACTGCGAACTCCTCGCGATAAGGATGGAATTATAAGCAAGGTAGAATAGCTTCAACCCCACTTTTGGCACTTAATCCTGAGATAGTGAACGGGCAATTTTCAACTACGCTTCGTTGATCAGAACGGCATCGAGACCCAGTCACTCATTTGCCAAACCCCGATCACTGAATCTACGTGCCCGGTAGCCCGAAATTTTCTTTTAAAGGGACCCTCCCACCTTCAAAAAAGTTAATGAATTGGCATGAAAGTGATGTCGCTAGGTTCAGAAAGAGCAAAAACGAATATCTACCAAATTTTATCGAAAAATATTCACCGGTTTTCAAGATATTGGACTTTTACTTTTGTTTACTTTTTTGGGATCTCCGCTGTTTCTAGCGACTTTATTTCAGAAGTGCGGCGTTTGCGGCAGATGTTGCGCGCAAATAGCATATACCACCGCGTGCTACAAAACGTTTTAGTCAAACATTTAAAAATCGTCAGATATTTGCGCTGACGTCACACATTCAGAGGGGTATTCCTAAGCATTAGCCCCTCTGAATCAAAATGCTGCAATTTTGAAATTCAATATTTCCGATTTAAGGCATTTCTCGATGTTGTGAGTGCCGAAACCGGTAATTGTGAGCCAGGGACCCCATTTTGGCTATCTCAACTCAAATCTAATGTTAAGGTGGGAGGGTCCCTTTAACAGCGCTGTGCCAGTGGACAAGGAATGGCAGCGAACAGCTGGCTGCACTATGTTCCTAGCGTGATGACAAGGAAGGGTTGGTAAATTTTCGATATCTCGTCCGCCGTCTCCGCTATATTATCGCGCACGCCAGTGATGCTCGTCTTCCTTGACTGTTGACTTTAAGACCACCGTCTGAAGTCCGGACCCTTGTGCCGAGAGCTGGGTGGTAAATGCCCGATAAAAGTTTCATCCCGGCGGCTGAGAGCGGTCCGGGTGGCCGCTTTAATCTACAGCTCATTCATATCGTATCCATCACTCGGTATGCGAGGCGACGCCTTTGGAGAAGCCATATTTTCTTCACGGGTCATCAGCATCGTAAGGCATTCCGGCTAACCCATCCATCTGCAGAACTTTGATCCAGAGTTGGGGCCGGTGACCCGCAGCAAAGGCCACAAAAGTCGTCCACAAGTCGCGCCCCGGCACAGAGTTCAGCTCACAGGCACAGAAACCACGCTGCCGCACTATAAATACCAAACGCCAACAGTCACTTCTGACACTGCAAAGGAACCCCATAGCCTTTTAATGAGTTGAGATCATTTTGAGCACACCTCCGCTCCACAAAATGGGTGGGTTCCACATGCCAAAAAAGTTTGCCCAGCTGTATGACTTTTTTCAAACTGAACGACAATTAGATTATATATGTAACTGAGAGGTATTTCGTCACATACTCACAGCCAGTACTCAGCAGACGGGCTAGCATATTGGTCGAGGACGTGTACGGATCCGAACAAATGGTCCTGGGATCCGATCCCATGGATCCTGAGCTCATATCCGATGGGATCATAGGTCAAGCCCCGTCATCTGCCGAGAGATCCATTGGGATCATGGATCTGAGCTGAATTTTTGCGTGGAGATCCGGTGAGATATAAAATCTAAGCTCAATTTTTGTGTCGACAATGGAATTATCAAGTAACTTTCGTCGCAATTCGCAAAGGTTTTGTTTTAGGGATATTATGTGATCACACATCACAACCCATAGCCTTGTGGCACTTCTGACCTGGAGTCGCCCAGATTTATGTGGCGGGAGCCGGGATCCACTCGGAGCATAGATTCCTTGGTTCTTGGTTGGGTGTAAGATTCTATGAGATCATAGATCCAGGATGTTTTCTATGTGGGATCCAATGGGATCTTAGATCCTTGTTTGTCCTATGCTTTCAGACCCACCGGGATCATGTATATATCACTCAGATCCATGCACATTATGTCTGGTGGCTCGTCATTGCACCCGTCGTCAGAACCGATTCTCCCAGCACGAGGTACTGGTAGTGACTGTATTTGCGGCAGGCGTCTTGCAGTGTGCACTGTGCAGCTTATTGCCTTTCAGCCCGGCGAGATATATTTAGTATGGTCCCCACTCCCCAGTCCCCAAACCAACTGAATCACGTTTGGGCTCGTTTATCGTTACCTCCCAGATAACTGCCTTCTCCGCAAAAACAGCGGGTAAAAAATGTTATAAAAAACAGTTCTACAACCAGGTTCACCCAGGGTAGCAAACGTCCCAGGGCATTACTTCGCTTATGTGTCTATGTTATATTTTACACCCAAAGACCATCGCATTCACATAACGCAAAACCACGCAACAATATCTAAGACTTAAATGAAAAACGATATCAAATTCTTATCTGTATTTAATGTAAACGCGTTTCGATTATTTCTTTATCAATACATTGATACAATACAGATAAAATGATTATGAACACACACGATTCATTTGTCAAAATGAACAATATACAATATCTGTAAGCCGTTGCACTGACCACAGTTCAGCATTGTAGGGAATGTCATGGCCGCTTTCGCTTGCAAAAACCAGACAAAAAGATGGGTGTCTGAATCAAAGAGGACCCCGTACGGGTTGCATTCGTACAACGTCTTCCAAACGTGTGTACTCGCAAACTTATAACTCTATCACCGGATGTTATAGAAAAGAGCCGCTACATGTCGCCTTTTACCCAGCAAAGCCCTTCATTTTCAGTGCGCTAATTATATAGCTGCTTTAGTGGCAACAAAGGTAGTGTAGCAAAGCCACTGCTGACGGCCCACTATAAGCTCACCGGACCCAGAGCCGAGCACAGGACTATCCACAGGGAGGCCAGCTTGACACCTGAAGTACGCCCCTAACCCCGTGGGCTAACAGTTTACGGCTGTGGGCTCAGGCCGTCACCGTACCGGCACAGGTCTGTCAGCGCGGCGCGTTGATTCCAAGCGTCCAAACCCGCCGGGACACACCCGCCGCGGCGCTCTACCGTCCAACTTTGCCACTGGCGGGTGACTCATTAGCCGCGTGCGCCGAAAATCAGACTCAGAGAGACCGTGAGAGCTCAGTCTACAGACGGAATGCTGCACTGACTGCAGCAAATGTGCCTTTTACTAGCGTTTTACTACCGCCGCAAAACACAGACCTACCCAACTTCCGCCACAAAACTCAGACCTGTCCCTCACCTATTCCCACGGCCGACCCACCCCCACGTCTCCCCACGACCAGTCCGACCCCGCACGGACGACCGATTGGCCCTTCTCACAGGGCCGCCGCCAGAGCATGTGACGCCAGTAAGCCGGTGCGATCGGCCGTCTCCAATCGTTCCGACACGTCGGACTTTGGGGCTCAGCGACCCGACAGTTTACCGTCCCACCAGCAACCCGACAGCTAACCGTCCCACCGTCAGCGACCCGACAGTCTACCGTCCCGTCAGCAAACCGCCGTCCATCGTCCCACCGTCAGCGACCCGCCGTCCATCTCCTCACCGTCAGCGACCCGACAGTTAACCGTCCAACAGTCAGCGATCCGACAGTTTACCTTCCCACCGTCAGCGGTCCGACGGTCTACCGTCCCACCGTCAGCGGTCCGACAATTAACCGTCCCAGCGTCAGCGACCCGACAGTCCATCGTCCCACCGTCAGCGACCCGCCGCGCCGTCCTGTAGAGCCGCAGCGGCTCAGTTGCTGCGGTCCCGCTCTCTCGGCCATCTCGAGGGCCTTCACGGCCCTTTTCAGCCCTTACGCAGTAACAGACCACCGGCATCTTACTCACACGGACGTCCTGGTCAGCATCGGTGATCATCGGGCGCTGCGGATAACTAGTCCCACAGCTCCGATATTATTGTATCACAGAAACTCGTCCAATCTACCCGTATGCCGCGAATCATAAAACAATAGGGGAAGTTGGGGGAACGCCGAATACTTTTTTTTCTGACGCCCGTAGCACGCAAGGTAGACAACATAAGCTATTCTTGTTGGCGTCATTCGAGAGGCCAGTCTTTTGCCTTTCAAACATACCAGGCGCATTTGATGAATTCGCATACCGTTAAGCGCACAAACTAAAAATATCAAAGAAGTGACTTTTTCGGCGTTGCCCCGGACTGCGGGGAAAGCCGAAAATGGGAGAAATGATCTACGGGAATGCCGACATTGATGTTTTGCCACTTTATCTCAAACTTTATCCAGAATTTATCAAAGCTGACACGCGTTTTAAGAGCTTGAGGACGCTTGGTGCACACTGGAAGTTATAATTGTGTGATATAATAAGAAAATGCCAGGTAAATAATTCCTTATAGGTAACAGGCCGTTGTGTCGGTTGAAAGTGTAATTTGTGTGACTAAAAATTCGCGTTGCTATTCTACAGCAGTAAAGTCCACGTAGCGTGCTTTAACGTGCGTAATTGCACGTTTTCGGCATTACCCCAGCCAGCCATACTTTCATTTGCAGGCCCATAACTTTTCAACGTGCCGTATAAATTTCAAATAGGCAGCACACTTATGCAAAGACATGCTGAAGATTACTTGACCGAATTGGCCAGACAAACGGTAGCATAATGAGTAAGAAATGCAGCTTCAAAGGCGCATGTAGTACAAGGAACGCGTACCTTGAAAACGCTCTTGGCGCCCTCACAGCCGAAGTATTCCGAATGACGACTCGTAACAAACATGCAATAATTGTAGTCACTTAAGCTTCAGAGCATCACTGACAGGTGGCATCCATGTCTTACGGTTTTCGAAATATCTCGAATTTCGGCTTTGCCCCAACTCCGGCATTGCCCCAACTTCCCCTAAATTAACTTAACCACGGTAATTTCAGCAAACCATGAATACGGAAGCCACAACTTTGCAGATGATGCATATCTGCGCACCGAAAGTGAAAAAACGTTCTATGTAGTCGTGTCAGGAATATATAGCGTCCTAGTGAAAGCGAAAGTCCAAGAGTCTTATTACATCCAATCCAATATAGGCTTACATCCAATACCTTATGTTTTGCCCGCGTCACTCGTCAGGCAGACCTCACGGTCTACAGTCCACATACATAATTCTTACCCTTTAACCTTACACCTCATCTTTACAGGGACACCCTTCCTTTAAACAGCGCCAGAAAGATATTACGTTTTAACCATGTGAGTAACGATTTCCATTGCAACTGTCCCAGTAAGACCTTATGTTTCAACCATGTTTAGCATACCCAAACATCCAGCAAGCTAGGAAAGCCTCACAGTCAGATTTACATTTTAGCCGTACTAGACAGCTTATATTTAGACGACTTTCATTTGCATCACAATTCACAACTTACATTTAGACGACTCGAGAGACATTATGTTTTAGCGGTGTTTGAGAGGCGCGACATTCCAATGCCAGCCGAAGAAATCGCAATCTAGACTCGAAGGTTTTACGGTGCTAGGGAATTATTACGTTCTGACTGTGGCGTGCCTGCTAGATATTACATTCTCATGTCAAACAGCACACTTTGATTGATCACCGCAAGCCACTCTCCCAAATATCGCCTGTTTGAATGGGAAACGACATGATGTCTCCAAAAGACATTACTCACATTTCACGTAGCATTTGTTCATCACCTATTGAATACTCTCTTCTCTAAGCCTCCCCCTTCAGCCCCTCCCCCCCCCCCCGACACACACACGGCCAAGTGGCCCGTTCCCCGTAGCTGGTGCTGGGAGCGGCCGTCACCCCATCTACCTGAGCGCCGCGGCCATCCCCCTATGTACCCACCTGCTGTTTCTGAGCGGCAGCGAACGAACTGCTCGGCCCAGACGGCCCAGCCGCCGGGCCATCCCCGTCCGTACCTTCTGTCTCTGAGCGGTCATCCCTGTCCGTACCTTCTGTCTCTGAGCGGCCGTCCCCGTCCGTACCTTCTGTCTCTGAGCGGTCATACCCGTCCGTACCTTCTGTCTCTGAGCGGTCATACCCGTCCGTACCTGTTGTCTCTGAGCGGTCATACCCGTCCGTACCTGTTGTCTCTGAGCGGCCGTCCCCGCCCGTACCTGTTGTCTCTGAGCGACCGTCCCCGTCCGTACCTGTTGTCTCTGAGCGGCCGTCCCCGTCCGTACCTGTTGTCTATATACGACCGTCCCCGTCCGTACCTGTTGTCTCTGAGCGGCAGCGAACTGCTCGGCCCACACGGCCGGCTCGGCGGCGGCCAGCAGGGCCACGTTGGGCGCGGTGACCGGCCGGCCGGCGCCGCCGCGCTCGATCTCACGCAGCTCCTGCAGCAGCGAGCCCATCCGAAACGAGGTGGGGCCGCGCGTCTCGGGCCGCGCCGCCTCGCGCAGAAACTCCTGCACCACCTGACAGAGAGACAGCGGTGTCAGTGTCACGGTGTCGGTGTCACAGTGTCAGTGTCACAGTGTCAGTGTCACAGTGTCAGTGTCACAGTGTCAGTGTCACAGTGTCAGTGTCACAGTGTCAGTGTCACGGTGTCAGTGGTATAATGTCAGTGTTTCAACGTCAGTGTCACAGTCACAGTGTCAGAGTGTCGGTGTCAAGGTGTGACACGGTGTCAAACGGATTGCCACGGCGTGATACCACATTCCACAGAAGTTTACTGACTAGCAAGGCAGTTGGACGCACAAACGGCGTTAATCAACCAATCACGATTCGAGGAGAAAAATAATAATCAAAATAATGAAAGCGTTAAGTGAGTGAGTGAGTGAAAGAGTGAGTGAGTGAGTGAGTGAGTGAGTGAGTGAGTGAGTGAGTGAGTGAGTGAGTGAGTGAGTGAGTGAGTGAGTGAGTGAGTGAGAAAGTATGATTTAATGTTGACTGGGTTCATCTCGAATCATATGCCATCGAGATAAAGGAACATAGCAATGTTTTATGCTGGTGCTGCCAACAACTATGAGCACATCACCTATCATATTCATGAAAGCCATCCTATCTCTCCTAAAAAATGACGATATTGCAAACTACGTGGCTACTGGCTATGGTCACAAACTTCTTCAATAGCACCCCGCCTTGCATCCCACAACTTGACCTAATGTTAGCCCTCCCATCCACCCATGTCTGGGACTGACTCCGGTCTTACAGCAGCGCAGCGGCTCGTCAAACACCCATCCAATCGGCGGTGCGGGCTACCGCCGCCAATCCGCCGCCGCCGCCGGCGGGCCGCTGCCGTAGTCAGAGCTCACCACCGACCGTTTACGAGCGGCTCCTGGTCACGCAACGTTCGGGGCCGGTCGGCGAGCGGCGCGGGAGGCAGGGACCAGCGCGGAGACGGACCGGGAGTGGAGACACCGAGACGACGGCCAGCGGGGAGAGAGCTGGGAGGGAGAGGGAGGAAACAGAGGGGAAGAGAGAGAGAGAGAGAGAGAGAGAGAGAGAGAGAGAGAGAGAGAGAGAGAGAGAGAGAGAGAGGGAGCGAGGGAGGGAGAGAGCGACAGGAGATATAGAGGAAGAAAATGAATAATATTGAAATGTCTGGCGTTTTTCGCCGGCAGACACCACAAAACCAACACCCCGCCGTCATTTCGACAGGAGCGGGGGGAAGGGGGAATGACGCTGTCTCCTGCAGCTCAGCACCGGCAGGGCTTGGCTCGTAGCCCGTCCCGTCTGCCCTCTGAGGGAGGAGAGGGGAGGAGAGGGGAGGATCATCAGAGGCCTCACCTGACCATCAGAGGCGGCGGTCAGGCCGGCGGGGTGGGGGTGGTGTTTCGGACCTCACCTGGTCATCAGAGGCGGCGGTCAGGCCGGCGGGGGGGGGGGTGTGTGTGTGGGGGGGTCTCGGACCTCACCTGACCATCAGAGGCGGCGGTCAGGCCGGCGGGGGGGGTGTGTGTGGGGGGGGGGGTCTCGGACCTCACCTGACCATCAGAGGCGGCGGTCAGGCCGGCGGAGGGAGGGGGGGGTGTCTCGGACAGAGCCTATTTTAAGGGAATTTGACTGGGGGGGGGGGCAACCTGAAAAATTGTCTTTAATAATCCATTAACCCTCGCCCGTATTGGTGTTTCCAGCTGCGAACGAATATTAGGGGGGGGGGTCCGTTGGACCCCTCCCCCTTGCCGTTTCGCCCCTGATCGAGCTAGAGCTTCGCGGAAAAAACGACCGTGTTTCCCGTGATGAAAGGAAACCGATGATACCCAATTTTAAGGTCCTATGTCATCGGTTGACCTTCCAGGTCAGGTCAATGACTCAAAAGTCGGGAAAATCGGGACCTGTTAGAGCGTCGTAAAGGGTGGCTGCTATGGTTTTTCCGGGGTGCTGATCACGAATATCATGTTAGTTATGATCATAGATGATGTCTTCATGCATTTAGGCCAGGTCAGGTCAGGTCAGGTCAGGTCAACCAGGGGTTTTGCCGGGTATTCGTAGTAGGTGGCAACCGCCTCTGACAGCTTCGTAACATGTTACGAAGGCACCAAAACTACTTCGTAAACGGTCAAATGGTTGCTAAATTCGAATTCAGCTCCAAAAACTAGCCTAGAAACATATAAAACTCGAAAATGTGAGCCCAGGTCATCAAAGGTAAATGACCTGACCTGACCTTCCGGTGACCTTAACACCCACCCTAATGCATGGGAGCAACATCATATCCCATGTTTGAACGTTTGAAACCACGAAAAGACTGCAAACGCGCGGCTAATGCGAGGCGACATACGCCGAATCGCGATCCCGGCCAAACATGGTACCATGGTGCTAGGCCGCCGGTGCATTTGAAAGAACTGTGGTGCCCCTGACAAGCCTAAAGTTCCAACGACAGGCCCGTGGTGCCCCTGACAGGCCCATGATACCCTTGCGAGGCCGATGGTGTCCCTGCGAGGCCGGTGGTGCCCCTGCCAGGCATGTGGTGTCCCTGCTAGGCCTCTGGTGCCCCTGACAGGCCTGTGGTGCCCCTGAAAGGACTGTGGTGACCCTTGGCCCTGACAAGCCTGAGGTGCCCCCGACAGGCCCGTGGTGTCGCTGACAGATCCGTGGTGCCCTTGCTAGGCCTGTGGTGCCTCTGGCAGGCCTGTGGTGCCCCTGGCGGGCCTGTGGTGGTACCCCTGACAGGCCCAAGGTGGTGCCCCTGCGAGGCCGGTGGGGCCCCTGGCAGGTCTGTGGTGCCACTGGCAGATCTATGGTGCTCTTGCTAGGCCGATGGTGCTCCTGACAGGCCTGTGGTGCCCCTGACAAACTTGTGGCGCCCCCGACAGGCCCGTGGTGCCCCTGACAGGCCCAAGGTGCCCCTGCGAGGTCGGTGGGGCCCCTGGCAGGTCTGTCGTGCCCCTGGCAGACCTAGGTGCTCTTGCTAGGTCGATGGTGCTCCCAACAGGCCTGTGGTGCCCCTGGCAGGCCTGTGGTGTCCCCGGGCCCCAAGGGGGCGGGGGGTCATGACCCATATGACCCACCCTTGGATCCACCACTGGTCATTACTTGCAGACTGACTCATTTGACATCCATTGCAAAACAAGTCACAGTAGTATGTTTGTCACCCTGTTCCTTTATGCCCATTTTTATAGTGGGCAAATCTCGACGACTGGGGGGGCAATGCTATTGAGTGCGGGGGCATTTGCCCCCCCAGTTAACATGTTAAAATAGGCCCTGGTCTCGGACCTCACCTGGTCATCAGAGGCGGCGGTCAGGCCGGCGGCGCCGGGCGCCGGAGCCAGGTGTCGCAATGCGTCCTCACGGTGAGACCTGCCCGCCGACCAGCCGCGGTCAGTGGGGGGTCAGTGGGGGGTCAGTGGGGTCAGTGGGGTCAGTGGGGTCAGTGGGGTCAGTGGGGGTCAGTGAGTGTTAGTGGGGTCAGCGAGGGTCAGTGCAGGGTCAGTGGGGTCAGTGGGGTCAGTGGGGGTCAGTGGGGTCAGTGGGGTCAGTGAGGTCAGTGAGGTCAGTGGGGTAAGTGGAAGACCGGGTACAGATCAGCACAGGTCCGCACAGATCTGCAACGGAATACGCTCAGATGGGGTGACGAATGGGCCCCACGCCGCCACACTTTACACAAACAAACCCCACGGCTCAATCTAAGGTAGGTAGCGGCAGTTAGTGCCAATCTCAGCTCAGGGCTGCTGTACTGTTCAAGGCGCCGTTCAGCGGACCGGTAAAATGGTAATGGTAAAATGGTAACATGGAGTGCGACAGAAATAGCCGGCCTGGGGCACCAGGATGCTCTGTAGAGCTATATCTGCTGGCTGCGGATTTGTTGCCGACATGGAGACAACCGGCTAATAATGCTAACAGACTACGGAATTATAGCAGCTCAGACAACCGAGAAATAATAACTGAATTACCTATGTCGTGCCTACATACGCCAAAGGGCAAAGATAGCTCGCTATCTATGGAAAAATATCAAAAGAATAGTTCACCTGAAAATGCCACCATTTTTCCAAGCAGAGCAAAAGCGCCTCAAAATCTTGACTATGCGCGCGCCCTGCGGAAGCCGCGCCGGTTCTCACCGGTTCTGTGAGAGGCGAGTGGGGGAGGGTGTTCTCACCTGTCGCGGGTGAGGTGGGAGGTGAGTTTGACGACGGCGTTCGGGCCGCCGCACTCTCCGTCCAGCAGGTCACGCATCGCCATCGTGGCGCGTCAGCCGCAGGTCACCAGGTCACCACTGCAGGTCACCGGGTCACCACTGCAGGTCACCGATCTGCAGGTCACTGCTGCAAGTCACTGGCACCGCAGCTGACGGAGCGGCGGCACTCTCTTCTTTGACCGATCGCTAGAGCAACAGAGACAATATTTGATCAGCGCCACGTCTGATTACATTACGGACACATACCAAGACAAGGAGAAGGAAAAACACAATTACAGCAAAACGGCGACTGTCACTTTCTGACGATACAGTCAGCCGTATTACATCATCAAACAATCATCCATCAGTAGTGCTCAGTACGGCGGGGAGATCGCGCATCGCACCCAATTCCAGGGACGTCAAATCACATCAGCTCGCTGCCGCGTCTAGGAGGGCCGCCGCGGCGCCCCTGGTGGCTGACACAAAAACCGGGGCAGACGTAGCAGGCCAGCGCGCGCCGCGTGACAGACTGACACTGGTCAGCCAGCTGGTGTCAGTCAGAGCGGACAGTGAACTTCACTTACTTTATCACTACCTTCATAGTGTACTTTGAGCAGTACATACACTAGCTCCAATTTCTTACAATTCAGCAAAACACATCGCGAAAATCCCTTTGGGGACTAGCTCCAATGCTTTAAAAAAAAAACTTTCCCCGACAAAAATGATTAAAATGGCACATCTGACATTCGATGGCCTCTTGTGACCTGACCTAGGTATGAATAGACACCGATTAAAGTGACCATCCCACATTGACATTAGTTTTGAGTTGAGATAGCCAAATTGGGGGCTATGGCCTGCAAATAGCGGTTTGGGCGCTCACAACATCGAAAGACGAAAAATGCTTTAATTCGGAGATATGGAATTTCAAACTTGCAGCTTTCGGATTCTAAGGGGCTAATGCATTGGAATTCCCCCTTAGAATTTGTGACGTCAGCGGAGATCTAACGATTTTTAAATTTTAGACTAAAACCATCGTTAACACGTGGCGTTATGCACTGCTTTGCGCGCAACGTCTGCCGCACTTCAAGGCTGCCAATTTATTGCTTCCAAATAAAGTCGCTAGGAACAGAAGATATCCCAAAAAAATAAACAAAAGTAAAAGCCTAATATCTTGAAAACCAGTGAATATTTTTCGGTGAAATTTGGTAGATATTCATTTTTTATCTTTCTGAATCAAAGGACATCACTTTTATGCCAATTCATTAACTTTTTGAAAATGAGAGGGTCCCTTTAACAGTAGCGGCGGAACACCTTCAATTGATGGGGTACTTCGCCACCCGCCGTTTGCTGGGGGGGGGGGCGTTAAACGCCCCCAGCCGATAACTCGAGAACCAATAGGCGCAGCGAAACGCACGAGGTGGCAAACGAAAGAACGCGACCAGACGCTTCAGATGAGTACTTTAAAGTCGAATTTTGAGGTCACAGGTCGGGTCAAGGTCAGGTAAAACACCTGAAATCGTGCTTTCAGTAGCATGGACTTCAGAACCTCGGAATGGGCGTCTCTCGTCATAAGCTCTGTCAAAACTGTGCACAAGCCTTCATATAAGGCCTACAAGAGTGTCAGATCCATGTAAGGGTCAGTCAAGCATAGGTCAGGGTCAAGGTCAGGTGAACCAGGTAGGCACATATCCCCGTAAATCAAAACTGATATTCGCAGCCTGTGACACATGTTTTATCGGTAATTTTGGGCGTAGAACACGATGGTGACATTCATTTTATCATATGTCTACGTGTTTGGTTCAAAAATTTGAATTTAAAAAATGTATGTATCATGGTCGTTAAAGGGACCCTCCCACCTTAACATTAGTTTTGAGTTGAGTTTTGAGTTGAGATAGCCAAGTTTGCGGCCAGGCTCAGAAACCACCATTTATCCTGGTCGCAACCCCCGCAGCTTTATGGTGTTCAAGAAATTTCTTCCCTTTACTTGCAGGGTGGGACCAGCGTGGTCCCTATCGCTTAACCATTACGGGAATCTGATGACGTCATCAGGCTTTCGAACGTCCGTTAAATGTTTGACTTAAACGTTTTGTAGCACGCGGTGGTATATGTTGCTTTGCGCGCAACAAATGCCGCACTTTCAAATAAAGTTGCTAGGAACAGCGGAGATCCCAAAAAGTAAACAAAAGTTAAAGTCTAATATCTTGAAAACCGGTGAATATTTTTCGATGAAATTTGGTAGATATTCGTTTTTGCTCTTTCTGAACCGAGCGACATCACTTTCATGCCAATTCATTAACTTTTTTGAAGGTGGGAGGGTCCCCTAAGTAGTCACGAGAAATCGCCAAGATTCAGTTCAAGATTTTGGAAACTGCGGAATGATAATAAAAAATCGAAGATAGCCATTTGATTGTCCATGGTATTGGGAGTCTAATGGCGTTTACGGCATGTCTGTATCTTTATTCTGTGATTAAATATGATTTTTTGAACATATGCCGTTTTTGGTCTAACACTCAAATCATGACGTCACTAAAACCTCAATATCTAAAAAAAAATCGACCGATTTTTTTGAAACGTTGTCACAATAAACTTCAATCAATTCTCCACAGGTACCCAAATTTTGGCGTGCCTGCGGCGCGCTGTTTTTGCTATAGCGCGGCGAAAAAAGTGAAGGCATTTAACGCCCCCTTCCCAGCAACTCGCGGGTTAAGGGGGGGGGGGGGCACTACCGACTTTTGGTCCCATTCTTTCCATGCAACGCCCCTAGGGCTAATGTTAAAATGCCCAAATCAAAGGGGGCACGCCGCACGGTGCCCCGGTGCCCTCCCCGTTCCGCCGCCTATGCGGCGATTACCAAACACTCTAGATTGTCTAGAATTCCATAAAATTGAAATAATAAATAGTTCGAAAATAAAATATGGCCTAATAAAACCTAAAACAACCTAACCCTACCTCACCTACTGATTTTTGCCTACCCGGGGATAAGAAAACAGTTGCTTGCATTAATAGATTGCAAGCAAAAGTAACTAGTAAGTCAAATATTTTTAGGTTAAGTGGTTGTGCATCAAGCTTCAGGCCTTCAGCCTGAAGCCAGATACACAACCATTTAACCTAAAAATGGCCTGAAGCTTGATTGATTGAGCTTGATTGTTGACTGAAGCTTGATTGTGCATCAAGCTTCAGGCCTTCAGCCTGAAGCCAGATACACAACCATTTAACCTAAAAATGGTCTGAAGCTTGATGCACAACCACTTAACCTAAAAACATTTGACTTACCATTGCCTCTCCTAAGGCATAAGCCTTCAGCACTGCCTTAGGAGAGATTACAGGCAATGGTACCTAAGTAAAATGTTTTTAGGTTAAGTGGTTAAGCATCAAGCTTCAGGCCATTTTTAGGTTAAATAGTTGTGTATCTAGCTCCTTCGGCACTGCACTGCTACACACCGAGTACGGGGCAACACGTTGCCTTACGGACCATGCAATATTTTAGTGCACTTATCTAATTCTATTATACATGATTGACGCAGGCAAGACTATCTATGGTGCATGAACTATGAAGCCATGCTGCTGTGTGTATAGCTCCAGAGCCCTGTTCGGTCGCTGTTTTTATATCAGCGTGCTGTCCGTTTTCCCCATATAAGGAAGTTCTTGCTGGCACTTCTTGGTCTCTCATTGGTCTAACGAATAGACCACTTGAATTCGACCAATGAGGAGTCAAGAAGTAGCAGCATGCTCGCAGCCTGCTGATAAATAAACGGGGGCGAACAGAGCTCTGGTATAACTAAAACTGATACAGGAGAACTTGTAGAATTTTGTTTTCGAGGTACCTAAGTACATCAAATTTTGACAGTTTGAAACAGTGCTGGAAATGAGGCCGCTTTCTGGTCCCTGCATTTTATTCTCCCAGTGGGTTAATCCATTCCAGCGTTTAGCCTTTCGGGAGTCTGGACCCACAAAGGGTCGCGGTTGTTTTTGCCCCTTGCCCCAGTCGAGATGCAAAGTTAATAGTCACATGAAGTTTATTTAGGGCCCCTGAATATACGACTTATATATTGATTGATTCTACAAAAACCTTTTCTTTCATCTATATGCATACAGTTAAGAGTAACTACAGACTATGCTAGTTTGGCTGGCCCTAAATAAGCTTCGTGTGACTATTATAGTCACACGAAGTCACTGACTATTGACTTTGCACCTTGACCAGTGGCGAAAACCACAGCAACCCTGAGTGGGTCCCGAAAGGCTAAACGGCAACGCTGGACGGGATTAACCTTACCTTACCTTACCTTACACTATCGGGAATTTTGAAAGGCAACTCGCCTGTAGGTCCCGCTCTCGTCGAGCTCGTGACTGGTGGTCATCTCTAGTCGTGAGTAGGAGTCAGGTACATCAGATTGGCCCAATGCTTGTCAAGTCTGGATTTGAAGGCATTGAGGGATGGGGCCTGGACAACTGTTGCAGGGAGGGAGTTCCAGTCGTTGAGCGCTCGAATAGTGAATAGTTGTCTTCTGGCTCGTGACTTGGCATGTGGTTTGTACAGCTTCCAGGGATGGCCACGGTTGGACCTCGTGGACGCAGGCTTGACAAACTTGTCCGAGTCGATATCGATCTCGTTATGCAGCAGCTGGTACATTCCAATCATGTCACCACGGCGTCTTCGGTGGAGCAGTGAAGGGAGCTTCAGGCATTTCAGTCTCTCAGTATATGGTTTGCTCCTGATGCCGGACACTAATCGAGTAGCGCGCCGCTGGACTCGCTCCACAAGCTTGATGTCTGCACGATTGAACGGGCCCCATATGAGGTTGCCGTATTCAAGGTGGGGCCTGACAAATGCCTTGAACAAAATCGGCAGGGTGATCTCGTCCAGATTCGAGAATGACCTCCGGATCAGAGACAGAATCTGTGAAGCCTTTGATACAGCTGAGGAAGCCTGCCTCCTGAACTTCAGCTCGGGATCGATGATGACACCCAGATCTCTTTCGGCTGAGGTGGAGGCGAGGCAGACACCGTTCATAGAGTAGGAGTGACCAGAGTTCTTGGCCCCGACGTTCAAGGACGCACACTTGCTCTGATTGAACGCAAGCTGCCACTTCTTGGACCAGGTGGTGAGAGCATCAATGTCGAGCTGGAGCAGGGATGCATCAATGGGAGTATCAATGCTGCGGTACAACTTCGTGTCATCAGCAAAAATCTTGATGCAGGACCTCACCGCGTCGGGGATGTCGTTAATATATACAAGGAACAGAAGGGGCCCTAGTACGGAACCCTGTGGCACCCCGCTGGTGACAGGAGACCAGGTGGATTGACAACCTTGCACGA